GTGCAATTTTTTATTTTTAAAGAAATTCCAAAGTTTCAAGTTACACTGCCGGCGCTTGCGGCTGGAATGTGGCCGGGGCATGTCACAACAGTAGAGGGGGAAAGAGGGAAGGAAGGAAGGAGTGGGAGGGGAGGGGAGGGGACAGGGGAGCTGCGTGACTGCATTGCACCATCCTCGTCAATAGATGGACCCCCTCCCGGCCCCATAAGGCCGCAGGAGTTGAAGCTGGCAGCCTCTGCTGTCTGAGGTCGCAGCTGCCGGTAAGCGTGCTTGGAGCGGGGCTGCGGAGGATGTCTAGGGCTGTCCCCCCCATGTGGCCCAAACCAAATGTATGTGCGGCCCAAACCATATTTTCATCTTCTAATGTGGCCCAGGGAAGGTGAAAGGTTGGACACCCCTGGTTTATATTTTAAGAGTGGGCTAGAATGTGAGAGAATTACTTTGTATCTGGGAGAGGGAAGTTGGATTTTGAGAGCTAGCATGTAATGCAATATAACCTTAAGTTGAACTCTGTTTACTTTCACCAGTTCTTATGTTATAATAAATAATATCTTTTATTTTTCACTCTTAAAACCACTTGGGCTGATATGTTTTAGGCTGAGTCCCATCCCAGAGAGACAGATCAGAAGGATACCATGGTTAATGGTATTAAAAGCCACTGAGAGGTCCAGCAAAAGCAACAGGGAGACACTTTCCCTCTGTCCCCTGTGCAGGTTAGCCAGCAAGTTGACCAAACCAGTCTCCGTCTCATAAACAGACCTGAAGCTAGATTGAAATGGATCTAGATAATTCATCTCATCCAGGAATCCCTGGAACCTAGAAATCACAACCTGCTCCAGCACCTTGCCCAAGAATGGGATATTAGAGATTGGCTGGTAATTATCCAATACAGTGGGGTCCAAGAAGATTTTTTTTTTCAATAATGGTCTTACTACTGTCTCCTTCAAGCAAGCTAGGAACCTATCCTGCTGCAAGGAGGCATTCACTAACCCTTAGACCCATTTGGCCTGTTCCCCTCTGGCAGCTTTTAAAGCCGGGACTCTGTGTGTGAGTCTGTGTGTGTGTGCATGCGCGTGTGCGTGCATGCATGCACACCTGTGTGTTCTAGTGGACAACAGGCAGCCTTTACTCTTCCAAGGATCTTGTCCACTTCATCAGGCTGCAGAAACTGAAAATTATCCATGAACGCAGGACAAGCAGGAACCACAGTTATATCTTTAGTGTGTGTAGGCATCCTTCAGTCTTGAGAGACTATGGTAACGTGCTCTGTATGGAGGACTTGGAACAGCATCTATTGTGGCCGAGAAGGCCAATTCGAGAGTGACAATCCCTTTCACACTGAAGACAAATACAATCTGTCCCCTGTCCAGCTCCCTGATTTTGCTGCTTTCAGGACTGCCTCTTGACCTCGGTCTGCTGGACAAGGGTCTCTTCCAGTTGGAGAGGCCATGATGCACCGCCTGCCTCCAGGCTGAACGCTCAGATGGCAAGGTTTCCCATCTGTTGAGGTCCATTCCTAAGGCCTTCAGATCCCACTTGCAGATGTCCTTGTATCACAGCTGTGGTCTCCCTCTGGGGCAATTTCTCTGCACTAATTCTCCATACAGGGGATCTTTTGGAATCCGACCATCAGCCATTCTTACCACACACCCAAGTCAAAACAGAGGTCACTGTTTCAGTAATGTATACATGCTAAAAATTCCAGCTCATTCTAGGACTACTCTATTTGGAACTTTGTCCTGCCAGGAGATACCAAAGATATGTTGGAGACAACACATATGGAATGTGTTCAGCTTCCTCTCCTGCCATGCACAAAGGGTCCAGGACTCACTGCAGTACAGGAGTGTGCTCAGGACACAGGCTCTATAGACCTAGATCTTGGTATTTGCCGTGAGCTTCTTATTAAGCCGTACTCTCTTTGTGAGTCTAGAGAACATGGTAGCTACTTTGTCAATGCATTTATCCAACTCGACATCTCAGAGAGTGTCAGAGATTGTTGAGCCAAGTACACAAAGTCATGAACAACCTCCAATTCTTGCATGGAGATGGTAATAGAGGGAGGTGAGTCCATGCCCTGGCCCATGACTTGTGTTTTCTTCAGGCTGATTGTTAGTCCAAATCTTGGCAGGCCTTGCTAAAACGATTCATGAGTTGTTGGAGGTCTTCAGCAGAGTGGGCAACAATGGCTGCATCATCTGCAAAGAGGAAGTCCCGCATGCATTTCACCTGAATCCTGGTCTTTGCTCTCAATCTAGAAAGATTAAAGAGCTTTCCATCTGATCTAGTCTGGAGATAGAGACCTTCTGTTGCAGTTCCAAAGGCATGCTTCAGCATGATAGCAAAAAAGATCCCAAAAAGGGTCTGCAGGAGGACACAGCCCTGTTTTACTCTGCTTCAGATGTCAAAGGGATCCAATGTTGAGCCATCAAAAACCACAGTGCCCTTCATTTCCTCATGAAAGGTCTTGATGATGCTAAGGAGTTGAGGTGGACATCCAATCTTGGGAAGTATTTTAAAAAGGCTGTCCCTCCTAACCAAGTCAAAGCCTTTGTGAGATCTATGAACGCCCCAAAGAGTGGCTGTTGTTGTTCCCTGCATTTCTCCTGCAACTGTCTGAGGAAGAATACCATGTCAGTGTTGGATTTATTAGCTCAAAATCCACAATGTGATTCTGGATAGACTCTGTCTGCAAGCACCTGGAGTCTCCTCAGCACAACATGGGCAAGCAGCCTCCCTACAATGCTAAGAAGAGAGATGCCATGGTAGTTATTGCAGTCACCCCTGTCTCCTTTGTTCTTGTACAATGTGACGATGTTTGCATCCTTCAT